GAAACATGTCATCAGTTCTGACACTAATAATCCTTCTTCTCCTTTAGTGCCTGCTTCAACTTCTGTGGATGTGGATCCAATAGCACCTCGTTATCCTTCGCGCACTCATAAGCCCCCTCATCGGTTTGGTTATTCTTCTACTGATTTTAGTTATTCTTGTTATTCTCATGATTTCTCTTCTTTCTTATCTTCTATACATACTCTCTCTGAACCCACCTCCTACAAGGAGGCTATATGTAATCCTCTTTGGCAACAGGCTATGAATGAAGAACTTTCTGCTCTGCATAAAACTGGCACATGGGATTTGGTTCCTCTTCCTCCTGGTAAACATGCAGTTGGATGTCGATGGGTTTATAAAATTAAGACTAAGTCTGATGGTTCTCTTGAGAGATATAAGGCTCGTTTGGTTGCTAAGGGATTTACACAGGAATATGGCCTTGATTATGAAGAGACCTTTGCTCCAGTGGCCAAGATGACTTCTGTTCGTACTTTACTTGCTGTTGCCTCAGTTCATCAATGGAGTTTATCACAGATGGATGTTAAAAATGCCTTTTTGAATGGGGATCTCTTCGAAGAGGTGTATATGGTTCCCCCTCCAGGTGTTCTTCATAATCCCGGGGGGGTGTGTCGTTTACGGAAAGCTTTGTATGGTCTTAAACAAGCTCCTCGTGCTTGGTTTGAGAAATTCTCTGCTGTTATTGGTTCTCTTGGTTTTCAATCAAGTGCTCATGATCCTGCCTTGTTTGTTCGTTCTACCTCTGTTGGTCGTATCCTTCTCCTCCTTTATGTTGATGACATGATTCTTACTGGTGATGATTTGGATGGTATCACCCAATTAAAATTGGCTTTACATGATCGATTTGAGATGAAGGATTTAGGTCCCTTACGTTATTTCCTTGGCATTGAAGTTGCATCTTCTCCTAAAGGTTATCTCCTTTCTCAGTCTAAGTATGCCGCTGATGTTCTTCAAAAAGCTCGTATTATAGATACTAGAGTGGCTGATACGCCTCTTGAGCTCAATGTGCGTTATTCTCCTTCTGATGGTACCCCTTTGGATGATCCTACTCTTTATCGCACTATTGTTGGGAGCTTGGTTTATCTCACTATTACTCGCCCTGATATTGCCTATGCTGTTCATATTGTTAGTCAGTTTGTCTCTTCTCCCACTACTCTTCACTGGGCTGCTGTGATTCGTATTTTACGCTATCTTCGAGGGACATTGTTTCAAAGCTTATTGCTTCCTTCCACCTCCACTTTGGAGCTTCGAGCCTTTTCTGATGCTAGTTGGGCTAGCGATCCTTTTGATCGGAAATCTACTACTGGTTATTGCATTTTTCTTGGTGATTCTCTTATCTCCTGGAAGAGTAAGAAACAATCAGTTGTTTCTCGTTCTTCTGCTGAGGCTGAGTATCGTGCTATGGCCTCTACTGCTGCTGAAATTGTTTGGCTTCGGTGGTTGCTTCAAGATATGGGTGTTTCTCTCTCTATGCCTACTCTTATGTATTGTGATAATAAAAGTGCCATTCAAATTGCTCACAACTCTGTCTTTCATGAGCGCACAAAGCACATCGAGTTGGACTGTCACTTTGTTCGCCATCATTTCCAGCAAGGCACTATCTCTCTTCCTTTTGTCTCCTCCACCATGCAATTGGCCGACTTCTTCACCAAGTCTCACACTCTTGCTCGCTTCCGCTTTCTTCTTAGCAAACTGTCGATGCTTAATACTGTAACATCGTGAGTTTGACAGGGGGTGTGACAATTGTATAGACAATATTAATATATATTTGAGTCTGTGTCTTTTAAGGGTAGTTAGGTCTTTTACTTATCTAGGGCATCTTTATATGCCTATATATTGTAAGCTTACAGCTGCTGTATATTTTTATCGTTTGTGAATATATTGGCATTCTCTGCTTCTGCTTGAATTGTTCACAGAGAACACCTCTGAGCTTACTGATGCATATAAAGAGTGAATTCGCATTGACAAGGCTCTCTTGAGTTTGCTTATTGCTTCTTTATCCGATGAAGCCATCGAGTATGTTATTGGAAGCAAGACCGCTCGAGAGGCTTGGCTAATCTCTGTGATCGCTATGCTTCGGTTTCTCGTGCTCTGCAAACCGCACAGAAAGGTAGTGATTCGATTGAATGCTTCATTCTTCGTCTCAAACATATTCACGATCAGTTGCATGCCGCTCGTGTGAAGATATCTGATGATGATTTTACCATTGCTGCGTTGAATGGTTTACCGTCGAAATGTGATATGATTCGCACTGTCTTGATTGCTCGGGAATCATCTTTGTCTCTTAAAGATTTTCGCCCACATCTTCTTGTTATTGAAACCACTGCTGAAGCGCGTATGGTTCGTCATACTACTTTGTGCTATTCTGCCTACACCTTCTGTATCTACTCCTCCAGCTTCTGATTCACGTCATTTTTCTCATGTGTCTTATGGTCGTGGCAAGTTCAATGGAGGTCGTAATGACAATTCTCAGTTTCGTCCATTCTCTGAATTTCTTGGTGGGTCGATTACTTCTTTCAAGTCTAATGTGGTGCTGGAATGTCAAATTTGCAGCAAGTGAGGCCATAGACAGCAAATTGCTATCATCGACACTCCACATCTAATTCGGCTTCTTCTACTGTGATTGAATGCCAAAGAAGGCCCTGGAGCTTTAAATTGTTTTCAGCGATCGAATTATTCCTATCAGGTCAAGATCTGCCTTTTTCTTTTTTATGCCTTTGGTTTTTACAAATTGCTTATAATACAAATGGCTGTATATTTGTTAGTCAACAGAAGTATGCTCAAGATCTTCTTCAAAAATACTTACAGATCTTGCTCTACTCCTTGTAAGCCACACAGTCAAGTATTGAAATATGAAGGTGTTCCTTTATCAGATCCTTCTCTATACAGAAGTATCGTTGGAGTGTTACAATATCTGACTTTTAGTCGACCAAATTTATCATATGTTGTTAATAGTGTATGTCAGTGCATGACTACTCCTTCAGACTTGCATTGGTTATTGGTGAAGAGAATTCGTAGATACATTCAGGGTACATTGGATTATGGACTTAAGTTTGCTAATGGTCCTTGGCAGTTAATTGCTTACAGTGATGCAGACTGGGCTGTGTTAACGCAGCTTTCCTTTCCTAGCCTACACGGAAGTCAACTTCACAATCTCCTCCTAGCAATTAGCCTTTCCTGCTGTAAATCGGATTGTATTCATGTCTATATTATTTCCTACCTTAAGTAGATATCCTGTACTAGTATAAATAGGGACTTTGTGTAATTTGTTAAATACAAGGAAATATATTTTATACAGGCTGGATATGTTAATACAATAAGATCAATTACAAGATTTGTGGTGTTTCTAGGTCCTAATGCAATTTCATGGCAGTCAACGAAGCAAAGTTCCACAAAAGCTGAATATCGAGCATTAGCTCATACTTCAGCTGATATATCATGGATACAACATGTGCTACAAGATTTAAAGGTGTTTTTACCTCAGCAGCGAATACTTCATTGTGACAATTTATCAGCTCTTGCATTGAGCTCTAATCCTGTGCAGTGTACCATTCAAGAATAAAACACTTGGATGTCAACTATCATTTTGTTAGAGAGAGTTCAAAAAGGAGATTTACTGGTTCATTATATACCAACTGAAGACCAAATCGCAGATGTCTTCACTAAAGGGCTACATGGTTCATTCTTTGTCAAGCATTGTATCTCTCTGAAGTTACGCACCCTAGCTAGGTTTGAGGGGGAATAAGGAGAATAAGAGCAGTTCTAGCGGGCAACCCCTTGCCCGCGGGGGGGGGGGGCCTGGGCCCAAAAAGTGTTTCCAGCGGGCAAATGCAGCTAGGGCAATTGGTGGGCTGGCCCAAAGGCAATTATAGCCCAGGCCGTTGCTTGGGTTTGCTAATGTCGGCAACGAAATTGAAAAAAAAAAAAAAAAACTAAAAATTTCAAATTTTTTTTTAAAATAAATACTTAGTCATATTCTTCACTTACCACGCCAAAACTCTATACAAATTCCTCTTCTTATATCTCATGTGAATAGTGATTGCCCTTGAGTTGCCATGAAAATGGTTGGAAACACCACAAGCCTTTTACAACTATCACTATTCACATAAATAGTAATAGCCCTTGCCTTGTACTTGCCCTTTGTCATGGCAAATGGGTGAAAGTGCTCTAATGACTGTGTATGTATAGTCAGCACAACAGTTTCACATGGTTGTCATGTGATAGCTGTTAAACTTGTTAGAAAACTGTTAGGGGCGATTGTTAGTTTGTTAGATGGCTTAATCTCTAAGCAAGTATTATATAAATATACTATTGTATTATGATGTAATTCATTCTTAATATACATAAATTAGAATATTCATCTTCTTCCTCTTTCTCTATGTAGTTTTTTTCTCTGTCTTTGTGATTTCTTTGTTATGTTATCAATGTGTTGTTGACCACACGAGGAAATGGAAGCTAGTTTTGTCACTTATCTTCACAAAAATTTGTGCGTCTTCCATAAATAAGTATGTTAAACATAATTTTTTTTTTTCAAGAAAGATAACCGTTTGAAGTCAAGTGATTATCCTGCATTCTCTTCATATATGTTTCTTTCAATTTATTTTTTTATTTTGTATGATACAAGCGATAGTCTAACTTATACTGAATTAATCTACTTTACATGGAGATGAAACTTGGACGCCAATGGTGGGGCTCACTTCCCTCATCTGAAAAAAAAAAAACAAAAAAAAAGGGGGCTTAGTTCACGTCTGTACAGTGGTCGAATTAATAGTGAAGCATCAGTAATAATTTGTTTGGTTTTACTGCTTATCCTGGTAAAAATTAGAATAGGCCTCTGCCAAACCAAAAATAAAAAAGAATGCTGGGCCCCCACTCTAGAGACTACAATCAAGGACAAACCCAAGGCCCATTACTAGGCGAGGTCACACTCTTTTAAAAGGCTCAGGACTTACTCGGTATTTTCATCAAAGAATTTGGAGTGAATTGTAATTTTTGGAATTGTAACCTGGCTGAAAACCCTACGCGGCCCTCTATATATACAAGTCCAAAACCCTAATCGCTCTCTCAGTCTCGTTTCAGCAGCAGCCGAAATGTCGAAGCGAGGTTAGCTCGCCTCCTTAGCTCTCTTCCTTTGTTTCTTCTTTGCCTATGTTTCTGCTTGATTTTCTGCTTGTCTCTCATGAAAATGTAGCCCAAGCATGCTAATCAACACCGTAGATTACCAGTATTGTTTATCATGTGTTAAATCTGCTTTGGAGTTTTTGAGTTCTTTGCCCACTGAGCTGTCGCAGGGAACAAAAAATGAAAGGGGTTTTGGTGTTACATTGATTTGATTCAGTAGTTTCTATGTTTACCTTCGTTTTTACCAATCAGAAATCTGTTACGAAAATCTTAATAATATTTCAGTGAATCATGTATTTCTAAGGATTGCGATGTGGGTTTGTTTGGTTGATAAGAAACCTTTGTAGAACCCTAGAAATTATGTTTTTTCAATCTTTGATACTCCGCAGATGTATCGATCTATGCTGTTTCATTTTTCCAAAAGAAATTAAATTGGCCCTATTTTTGGCATATAGTATCATATGATTCTGATGTTGATCTTCTTGTTTAGGGCGTGGAGGATCCGCTGGTAACAAGTTTAGGATGTCACTGGGTCTTCCAGTGGCAGCCACAGTGAACTGTGCCGATAACACCGGTGCTAAGAACCTTTACATCATATCCGTCAAGGGTATCAAGGGTCGTCTGAACAGATTGCCATCTGCTTGTGTTGGTGACATGGTTATGGCCACTGTCAAGAAGGGGAAGCCTGACCTCAGGAAGAAGGTCCTGCCTGCAGTCATTGTGAGGCAGCGCAAGCCATGGCGCCGAAAGGATGGCGTCTTCATGTACTTTGAAGGTCAATATCATTTTTGTTGAATTTCTCTGATTATTACTAATTGGTAGTGCAGTGTAATTGTACTGTATGTTCTGCTTCTTGGATTAAATGATAGGATAGGTCTCTTTGGTATGCACTACACTATTAAGTTCGCATTATACACAAAAATCTGCTGTGATGTTGAGTTTATTGTGTTCATATTGTTGGTTTCCCCTTAAAAAATGGAAATGGGTTTGGCTAAATATTTTATTTATTTATAAGTTTTATTTGTTAATTGTTAATGCTTTCTTTATTTTTTTTTATCTGAAGTCTTTGCTTGTTGATTGTATTTTGGTGATTTAAACAGCATGAGAAAAAAAGGATGCTGGTTAAGCAGGGTCATGATGTGCACATAACTCCATTGGTGGATTTATGTGTGTATTATGATTTGATGCTTTCTGAAACCAGCTACATTAATGGAACCAACCTGTCGAATAATATTCGAGTGGGTTCTCTTCTGTATGGAATCTTCTCTTTCGCCATTCGATACATGTTCTTTTCCTGTGTCATTTTCTCCTACTGTTGATATGTTTCCCCAGTATTGTCCAATAATTTGCATATTCTTTGTGTTGCATGTGTAGTCTAGAGTTATTCTCTCTCAGTTTCTCTACACCTTTCATACCGTGCAATGTTTGATTGCCTTTCTTACCTGAACTGCTGTACCCCTCTATCTAGATCTCCTATAGTCATCCTGTCAGAAAATGTGTCCGATAACCAGACAGAAGTCAAGTGTCCTCTATCTAGATCTCCTATAGTCATCCTGTCAGAAAATGTGTCCGATAACCAGACAGAAGTCAAGTGTCCTCTTTATCTGGTAGTTGATGCTGTTACACGTCTGGAAAATCAATAGTGCCCATCGTTACAGGCGTGCTTGCATTTATGCTCACATCTGCTCCATTTGGGCACTACATATTTGTTTTGGCATTGAATTGGGATCATGTTTGTATGATTTGACTTGTATTGATTCATCTCTACATTTTGTAATGTGTGTTGCTTCTACTGTTTTTTTTTTGGTTCCCATAGTAAGATAAAACTAGCTATATCGTAACCAGACAGAAGTCAAGTGTCCTCTTTTTCTTGTGGTTGATGCTGTTACAAGTCTGGAAAATCGATAGTGCCCATCGTTACAGGTGTACCTTAGCTTTACATGCTCACATCTGTTACATCTGGTCCCTACAAATTACATCTGGTCCCTACATATTAAAGTGAACGTGCATCTTGTTTATTCGATTTACAATTTGATTTTTGTAAAACTCTCTTGGTTTTGTTTATCCTGGGAAAAGTTCCAGATGAGTTGGTTTCTTTGTAATTGGTTGGTGGCTGAGCATGTTTTTGGACTGGCACTCCATATTCTCTATTGCATGCATTTCACTGTTTGTCACAGTATCTTACCTATCCTATTTTTTAAAAATTTGCAGATAATGCTGGTGTTATTGTCAATCCAAAGGGTGAAATGAAAGGTACATCTTTTATTTCCTTAGTTGAGGGTCATGCAACATTTTCATCATTCTTTTCGTTATAATAAGTTTTTGGGTCAGCTGAACTAATTGGCTGCTCTCTGTTTGTTTAGGTTCTGCCATTACTGGTCCAATCGGGAAGGAGTGTGCTGATCTTTGGCCAAGGATTGCAAGTGCTGCTAACGCCATCGTCTGAGTGTTACTTTCTTTGAGCTCTATGCATAGGACTGAACTTATGTGTTATCCGTGTTTTTGATATTAGAAGCAGGTCGCTCCTGGAATTTGACTAAATTTTTGTTTCTTGTTATTGTGGTGTTGTGCAAACTGCAGCGGATTTTGTTTGGATCTAGATATTACTATCATGTTTTATTTTCAGAATTTAGAAATTGCTATGTGCCCCCCGAAGATATCCATGTTGATTCAATAAGCTTCAGTTTCTAATCGTTCTTTTTGCCCTCCAATTTCACTTGGCAACCAAAATTTCTTCCCTTAAAATTTCACTTGGCAATCAAAATCTCTTACCTATAAATGATGCGTTCCTACTTTTACTGTCCTGATTTGGTGAGGCATTTTCGAATAATTTACAAGTCGTTTGTTACAACGTACACAAATCCTGCCAAAGAAAGCATTAACGAAAGGCCAAAAGCAAGTCGGTGCATCTAGTTTTGCCACCCTGGTCAGTATATGGCGACAGAATCGCAATAATTCATGTGGCGACGAAGTAGTAATGTCCTAGCGAAATCTAAGCGTGTTGTTAGGTTGTTTGAGTCTTGTTATTTCTGTAGCAGTAGCAGGGCCAAAATGGAACATTTTGAGTCACAGCACCAAAGATGGACTGAGCATCAGCTTGAGAAACTACTGCGAGAGTTGGAGGATGAATGTCGAGCTGCACAACATCAGAGAGTTCCAAGTCGTGCCCGAAGAATGTGTTGGCTACATTGGAAAATATGTTACTTCAACTCAGTACAAGGTGGACTCAGAGAGGGCGATTGAGGAAGCTATTGTGCATCTGAGCACCAGCTGCAATTTGGAGAAAGATGGTAAAGATGCATGGATTTTCGACATTGACGATACGCTCCTTTCCACCGTGCCATACTACAAGAAGCAACATTTCGGGTAAGCCTTTTGATATGTTATTCAAAACAAGCAATCTGATCACATATAAAATATTTATGGTGGAGATTTACGTAACCCATTGGAGGATTGAACAAAATTGTTGCAATTGTTTTTTGAACAAAATTGGAAATAGGGGTGAGAAGTTGAACCTGACTTCTCTGGAGGAATGGATGAGCCAGGGCAAGGCACCTGCTCTGGAAAACTCACTCAAACTCTTCAATGAGATGAAAGCCAGAGGGCTGCAGATCATTTTGGTTTCTTCAAGGAGGGAGCATCTCAGATCAGCCACAATTGACAACCTTGTCAATGTTGGCTATTATGGATGGACAAGTCTCATATTGAGGTCTCTGTCTCTCTCTGTCTCTCTGTCTCTCTCTCTCATTAATTAATTAATTTGTTTCACTTGAATATTTGGAAAATTTCATTTGGGGTTGCAGGGGTCCCGATGATGAATTGATGGGGGTGCAAAATTACAAGACTGAAGTGAGAAAACAGTTGATTGGTGAAGGCTACCGCATTTGGGGCATTGTAGGAGATCAATATAGCAGTATTGAGGGGCTTCCAAGGGCCAAAAGAACATTCAAACTTCCAAACCCATTGTACTATGTTTCTTGAACAAAACCCAATATTGTACTTTTCATTCCTTTATTTGAAATTGTTCATCCAATTCAATTGCCCTGAAATGAAGCATTTTATATGGAAAAAAAAAAAAAAAAAACCATTTGATGGGAAATGTTGTTAACCAGCTGAAATTATGATCGTTGGTCAACCTTATGTGAGAACTGTGTGAAGGCCCATCCTTTTTTTTTTTTTGGCCAAAGTTAGGAAGGGGTTGGGGTGAAACTCACACACAAGGATACCATGGAGTTTGAACTCAAGACCACTTATAAACACACCGAAGACCTGAGACAATCCAACGAACACATTGAAGGGCCATCCTTCAATTTATTATCGTTCTTAACATCTCAAACATAAACTAAGATACATACATACATATACATCATATCTTTTGGTGCATATAGCTTCCACTGCAAGTAGTACATTTTGTTCTAGGCTCTAGCCCATCTTAGCCATACCAGCTGCATTAATCTTAGCACAATACTCGAATAAGCTTCCATCAAAGCAGCGCCTAACGGCTTCTTTAGACAGAAGACCATCCTCATCTCTGGCAAGAACATACAGAAGTCCCCATTCCAGTTTACTCGCGATCCTGCAAAAATCACACTCAAAGAGATGGCAAAGTGAAGAACCAAAGCTAGTTGACATGGAAATTGTAAGTGAAATGCATTACGGACCCGAAAAAGGTTACCATCCAAAGAAGTCGAATGCAACTCTGTTCCCCTCGGTCATGTCCCAAAGCTCTCCCAGGGTGAACTTGTCTGGCACAGTATTGGCATACTTGCTAAACATGTTCTCAATGCTGACTGGGCTAAACCTGCAAAATGATTTCAGATGAGTCCTAATGATTCATTTCGACCCATCACAACATCAAAGATTGTTACGGTTTCGTGTTTAATTTATATTTACATACCTTCCTTCTGTGTCATATGTTCCAGAATCACTACCGTGCTTTGATTTGTGAATGTTGTAAATGTATATGGGGAAGAAAGGAGAAGGAATCCACCCCTGTGAAAAATTGGAAATTCGAGAATTACAAATGCAACTTCATTATGTCCTACATTTACACTCACATTTATCAGACTTTAACACACACCAACTTCCACATAACGTGGTCAGCTAAACGAGAAATCGCATTAGCTAACTAAGCACACAAGAAACCGCATTAACTAAGCACATGATACAGCACTTAATATGTACTTCTTCCATCAGTTATAGCCAACTTTAATTAACATGAACATCATGTAGCATGTAGTCCAGAATGTGATATCTCTAACAACACTCTGCTTAGTATCTAAAGGATTGAGAGAAATTACTGTTTGTTACTAATCGCCACGTGGTGTTAATAATCCAAATGTAATAGTAATTTACTGGTGAATTAGTGACATATACCGTGAAACCGAAATTTTCTTAGGATGCTTATTACTAATTAAGTAACTACCATTTAAATTCAACCACAGTGGTATAAAGAAGTGTAGCAAACAATATACAACTTACGGGCAGAGTAGCATAACTCAGAGCCCCATTGATAAAAACAGATATAACAACGGCAGCGATGAGATTGAAACCAACGGCTCGCAATCCTGATTAAAGGGAAAAGAACAAAGTATATGAGAACCTAATAAATTTAGTACAAAGGGTGCTTGTTGAGGTTGAACAAATAAGTTGAAGCCAGAAAGCAGGCACACATGAAGATTTACCAGTAAAAGTTTCCCAAGGGTAGACGATCCCATTGTCGTCCTGGTCGAAAAAAGCTACATGCTGCTGAAGAACACTCATGTTGCGGTGCTGATGGCCCAGTGTTCCTGTTGGATGGTTTGTGTCCGGAGCAACCAATGCTCTTGGCATGTCTGAAATTGGGATATTTTCAAACAAAATACAAAATATATTAGTGCACTTGAACATGTTATAGTTGCCATTAATTTGTCAAGGAATGTTTCAACTTCAATTAGGTAGCTCGGCTTCAACTGGGGAGTTGCTCAATCTAGAGGTAGAAACTAAAATCAATCTTGTTACTTTGAATTTTAGTTTAAAGAAATTTTCATTATGTAGATTTATCTCACGGAATGGATGAGGTTCACTAAGGGGAAAAGAAAAACAGTGTCATAGACCAAATGATTTGATTCATATAATCCTAGACTATGTGTCAAATTATTATAGTGCCCCATGATAAATTAATCCTTCCATTAAAAACAAACTTTCCAAATAATATCACTTGGAATTTTCTTGAAGATCATGTTAGAGAATAGTGGAAGAAGAAGAAACAACCCTAATGTTTATACAGAGAGAGAGAGAGAGAGAGAGAGAGAGAGAGAGAGAGAAATGAATGAACTCACATGGCTTAGGAAGTTTGGTTTCCAAGTCACCCCTGACCTTCCTCTCAATAGTGACAGGTGCATATGGAGCTTCTGTTGCCAATGCTTCACCCTCCATCACAGCAGCCATGATATATGAATATTGAATTTTTTTCTTCTTCTGTCTCTATGGCATACGGAGGCACAGAGGAGACTGGCTAGCTCAACTTTGCTTTTATAAAGAGCTAGCGGTGGAGGAAGGAGAGAGAGAGAGAGAGAGAAATGCAAAGGCAAATGAGAAATTCTTGAGTATCTTGCGTGAGAGAGAAAGAGAGAGAGAGAAAGAAGCAAAGGCAAATGAGAAAGTCTTGAGTATCTTGCGTGGCAAGTGATGCAAACAACACCTGATTTTGAAGGGCAAGTTGTGGCTAAATGTGAGAAGGGCATGCAGATCTTGTTTGATAGGCATCTTACACTTGGCCACCCTCCTTGTGCTGTATTCTGCGATTATTTTATGGTCTGCTTGACTTTCAGCTACCAAACTCAAACAAATAATAGGTATTTTTTTTTAGAAATATCACCTCAATTTATACTTCGATTTTAATTTGTCACCTTAAAGAAAAATTTAAGAGAAATGTCATCTTAATTTTTCAAAATTCATCATTTGTCATTTGACTTTAACACCATTCAATTTTCCATCTATTTTAGAGTATTTCAGTTTTCCATTTTCAAGGAGGAAAAAGAGATCTCTCTCCCTTTCTCTCTCACCCGCCCCCAAAACACATCGCACAGGACCCCCCTCCCCCCACTTCTCTCTCTCTCTCTCTCTCTCTCTCTCTCTCTCCATCCACAAATTTTCAATATGCAAATGAAAAAATACCAAAAATAAAAAAAAGAAGAAAAAGGTGAACTCGGTTTGGGTGGGCCGAGGGAATTTGTGTGTGGAGGGTAAGTGTTCCATGGTAGAGAGAGGAGGAAGGGGAAGAGGGAAGGGGGAATGGAGAAAGGGGATGTGAAGAGGGAATGGATTTCAAGGTGGGCGAGGTTGGTTGGAACCGCTGGTGGCGCACATGGGATGGGGGAATGTGAGATTTTTTTTAAAAAAATACAATTTTTTAATAATGAATTTTCCATATTTAAAATACTCTTGAAAATGAAAAGACTAAAATACCTTCTAAAATGAATGGAAAATTGGATGATGTTTAAAGTCAAATAACAAATCATGGAATTTGAAAAATTAAGGTGACATTTCTCTTAAATTTTTTTTTAAGGTGATAAATTGAAATTGAAGTATAAGTTTAAGTGACATTTCTACAAAAATAATTAGGACTAAATTTTGCCCCCTATAGGTTTGGGGGCATTATCAAAATGGGCAACAGGATTTCAATTTCATAAATTTACACATCAACGTTTTAAGATTTGTTCAATTTACACATTCCATCAATTTGACTATATGGTATTCTCTTAAGTTGATGATGTGGAAAGTGGGGGACCCACCTTTGTGTTGATGTGTCAATAAAAACAATAAAAATTCCTTAAAATAATAAAACACTAATATTCGGGGACCTCCTTACTTGTCCCCAATTTTAACCCGAAATCGGAACCCGGTATTACGGGGATTTTTGTCATCACTAGTTGAGGTTCATCAATGGCAGTTCCTGGTGGTGGGTTCTGCCTTATTATTTTCTCCTTCTTTTTTTCTCCAAGTTAATCTCCATCGGATGATAGCGGTGGTGGTTTGATTTCTCATCTCTATCTTTTTATTTCCTGAACCCACAGGATTTTCCCAACTCGATTATAAATATTCCAGTTGAGATCAGGAAAGCAAAAGAATCAAAACCCTGCAACAACGCCTGAGCTTCAGAGCTTGTATTTGATTTCTTTAGGTATGCTTTCAACTTCCCATCAATGTTCTAATCCCTTTTGATTTTTGGGTTTTTTTAACTTTCATCTCATATACCGTTGAAAGTTTGGGTTTTTTTCTGTTTACAATTGCATTGTCGATTACAGTTTTTCTGATGTCGTGATATCATCTTATTCATCGATCTCATCGTCTTTGCATTTTTGCTACCTGATTTTGATTTCTGAAACCCTAATTTTTTCAAATTTCTCAAAATTCTTGGTTCCCAAACACCCTCCTGACATCATTTTCATCTTCTTTTTGGCTCTGTTGATGTTTCAAATTGCTGGTCGTAGTTTTCTGGGTGTTACTTAATTTTCGAGTACTTATATTTATTCGAAGACCATATTAATCGTTGTTAAGTTGTGCAGTATCTGGTGGCTATACTATTTCGTTTTTCAATAAAAGGAAAAATCCTAGTATAGCCGCGCGGCCATACTATTTATTTTAAAATTATTAAAATACATTCACAAAGGGTCTTGCCCTTTAAGTTTATGGGGTGGTAAAATTGCACAAACACCAGAGGAATGATTCCTTGCACGTTCCTGCTTTCCATCATCGTTAGATTATAGAACAAGAGGGAGACCCAGAAAGCAATTTAGTCCCATCTCTTTGAACAATCCCAAAATTCAGAGCCATTCACTTCATGGTCCTAAACACCAACGACTGAAGAAGCTCAGGCCATTGGTTCAGTATATGTTTTTAATCAGACAAAACAAGTCTCAGTTTAAGACCAATCCCTACTACTCCAGATAAATGAAAATGGAAATTCACCCTTGTGTTCCATGCCATATTACTGAAAATTCATAATTGAAAGCAGACACGAAAGAGGAATACAAATACAAATTTTAATATAATACAATCATTTCAGTTGTGTAATATAAATGTACTGTTGGACAACATCTTTGCTCCTCTTGATTTCACAGAGCATTTCTTGACCACATCTCCAGGCACATGCTCTCTCTGCTGCAGAGCTTCGACATACTTTCTCACTATCAGTTCCTACCTGCAGCAAGCTACCATAACACAAATTCAGCAGTTTACTTGTCAAAACGTGCATTCCAAAATGAATATAGTCATACCACATTTTGAAAATAAAAACACTCATTTCAATCTAGTACTCTTGTACGTAATAGTTTATCCAGTATGCCAAAAAAGAGAGTATATATAGTTTACATAATCAACTAGAAAAAAAAAAAGAAAAAAGATTTAGCTTATGGACTGGAGCTTTCTAATTGTTGTTCGCGTAGCAATGGAATGATTCTCCATTTCAAAGATTCTGAAATGCACATAAATATTCAACGTACTCTTACTTGATTGACTTCAAAAGGAACATCTAAATCTAACGGTGATGTATTTTAACCTGTTGGCCTTGAAATATTATTATAAGATTTTGGAATGCGATAGAATTATCATATTAAAGTTTATAAGTAATAAAATAAGGAAATTTAACCTGTTGGCTTTTACATTAAAGTTTCTCACTCACAACTCACAAGCACAATCAAAAAAGCAATCAAAATGGACAAAGAAAACAAATCAAATATTATTATAAGATATTTGGCCTCAAAGTAAGGAATTTTAAGCTTCTCACTCACAACACAAGTCACAAGCACAAGCAAAAAGCAATAAAAATGGAGAAAGAAAACATAGCTAAACAAGGGAGCCCATATTCTGTTGGCTTTTCTACTTTAATATTCTCTCGATGCTTCATTTTATAACCAATAGACACAAACCAACCACCCATTTTCACTTTAAAATGCACCCATTTCGCTTTAAAATTTAAAAATTAAAAGAAAGAAATTACCTTGCCATCATTACAAGGGAAGGTACATGTTGAATTTTATAGAAATCCTCTCCATCTTCCTGAATTCGACCGTGGAGTTCTCTACTCATTCTTGCGATGGTTAATTCCCTGAGATTAGTAAGATATCTCAGCCCATCTGGAAGTGTCGTCAATCCCAAGCAACATTTGATGTTCAATCGACAGAGACGAGGCATGGCTCCTTCCTCTAGCCTCAGCTCTGTTATTCCGTCCACACCCCAAAGATCAAGAAATTCAAGAGAAGGAAAGCCTCCTTTGGAGAAAACCAGTATCTTTGTTGTATTCTCCTCGAAAGCTTCTTCAAAAAGCTTCAAAATTGTTAGGTTTGGCAGCTTCTCTAGTATTCCCATTTGGTCCTCCTTGAGACCACAATTATTCAATTCTAACTTGGTGAGGTTTGGATAGTTGTGGAGCTCTTTCGGTAATTCTGCAATTGGCCCTTTCAGCCTCAATTTGTATATACCCCGACAGCTTGATACTATTTGCATAGCTTGCTCTGCACGGCCATTCGTTTCAGAATTGTTCCAAAATATTAGAGACCGGATACGGTTAAGCGTACTGCCTGTAGATTTTAAGATTTCCTCCAGATTTTGCAAAGAGCTTGACAGTGTTATTTTCAGTTTTCTAAGATTGGTTAATCTACCAACATCTTTCAAATCACAATACTTGCTTGAAAGCCCACCTAAGGTCTGTAGATGGCCAAGAGTAGACAGCTCCAGCTTACCCTTTACTCTGTAATTCCAAGGTAAATATAAATGTCTTAATTGTTTCATCTTCTTTATCACATTTGGGACAACCACATAGTCATTCCGAACACAACAATCAAGAGTTTGCAAGCATACTAAATTACCTAGGGATGGCGGAAGCGTTTTGATACGGCTATCCTTCACACTTAGAAACCTTAAGTGTACCATATTTCCAATTTCACTTGGCAACTCAACTTTTACTTCATTAAGACCTTCCACCTTCAAAACTCTAAGCATTGTGAAATCCATCAATGGAGAAAGTAATCCTTTTTCATTTTTTGGCCTCCATTCTCTTAGGCCAAAGAATAATAGAGACCTTACGTGCCCATTTGTTTCATCTCTTGAAGAAACCAACCTATCTGCCTTCTCATCCAAGTAAATTGCAAGTCTTCGAATTTTCCCCAATTGTTCTGCCTCGGCTGCCACAGAAGAAGTATTTTCTTGCATTTGGAGAAAGCTTTCCTCTTTTGCCTTTAACAAACACATGTCTCGTACAAGATCATGGATTCGACAACCTTTAATTGTTCCTGTTGAACCACTTGTTCCCACTTGAACCAAACACCTTTCCACCAACTCACTTAAGCAATCACGTGCTATATCCTCCATTGTTTCCCTCGAACCATGTCTTTGTTGTCTCAAGGAGATAAGACCTTCTGCCACCCATAACTTAGTCAATTTGCTCACCAAAAACTCAGAGTCTTCAGGATAATGACCTAAATATAAAAAACATAGTTTTAAGTAATACGGTAGGTCATCATAACTCAATGCCAACACTTGTGATACACCTCCATATTCTTCTTCATGACCTATGCC